AATCAATAAATAAAACCCAGTTATAAGCGAAATAAAAACTACGGCACGCTCAGACTGAGTCTTCAATATCAAATTTTAAATTGCGATTTAAATATAATTTACGTCTAAACACATTAAAGTTTTTCTCTGGATTCAAAATATTTTTGAATCTTATGTTTCTATGATCGTAGAATCTGCTTGTTCTTTTTAGTTTATTTAATAGATATTTAACAATATAAATAACATTATTAAAGTATATTATTAAATTTATAAATGTCCAATTTGTTATAAAAATTTATAGAGGAAAATAATTTAATTCAGAAAAATGGGGGGGAGTTCAACTAAACCTCCCCATTTCTACGCCACTGGCTAATATTAATGTTTAGCTATTATGTATTTTATTTCAACAATTCGTTCGGTAAAAAGTATAAATAAAAAAGTTATATAAAAAATAAGGAAATTTATATGATTCAAGGTAAAAAGAAAAATAAAGAAGCACTAACACGATTTTAATATAAAAAAAGGGAATATATCAAATAAAAAATTACTATCATATCATTATCATAGAAAATAGATTTTATTGTATTTTAAACTATAAGACTCGATGTCTCAGGGTAGTTTTGATAATTTTATAATTTAGTAGCAGTGAAATAAAAGTATTCATAAAGATTTAATCTTTCGAAAATAAGGTACCATAATAATATGGATTGGGTACGGTAAAATTAAAAAAGATTACAATAGTTGATTTTTTATCTTTAGGTGCTAAATTAAGTGACTGTTTAGTAAAGTTAAACTACTAAGTGCGCTCTTACACTTGGAAATAGAAAAGGTAAAAAATCGATTCCATACGTATTAGGCATTGGGCTGGGCCTATTTTAAAAAATATACGTTTGGGCTAGGTCAGGCCTAATATTTTTAAAAAATATTCGGATCGGGCGAGCCTATATTTTCAAATAACATTAATATATTTTTAAGTTTTTGCAAGAAACAAGGCTTTAGTAATTTTATTTGTTTAGAATGATAAAAACTTGATTATATTCTTTATTTGATTATAGAATGATAAAAACTCGATTATGTTCAATGTAAACATACATTGAAAAAATAATAATTTCCATATTTAAATAAATTCGGATCTGACCGGGCGGACAAATAATTTTTATTATGGTCTTTTCGGGACAAATAAAAAAAAATTGTTTCGGGCATAATAAATTTTTTTTTTAAATTTTGGGTAAGGCTTGAAAATTAGGCCCGATGCAGATCACAATTAACACATCTTTTCAATGTCAAAATTGAAAATTAAATGTACCATTGTATTGTTTATACGACTATTTCTAAGATTCTTTCACATATTTTTAATAGAAAAAGATATTTCCTATATAATTTTATAGAAATAAAAAGTTAAGGGGTTATCAATAAAGGAAACTATCAAAATAAAGCAGAAAAACTGGCCAAGATCCAAAATAAATAAAAAAAACTTAATGAAAATTAAAAATCAAAAGAACCCGAAACCGTCAATAATACTAACTCTTACTCAAAGCTAAAAAAAAGTGATAACTACTAAATACTTGTGGATTTTTATAGCGTAAACTTTTATTTTAAACACATAAAAAAATTAATTATAATCTTCAAAATTTATTTTCATAAAATTTAAACATAAAAAAATTATTTATGAAAAATGGTTTTATAAATTTGAGCATAAAAAAATTAATCCAGAAAAAAATTTATGATCCAGAAAAAAATTAAAAATCATTTCATCAAAAAAAAACGATAAAAAAAATGATAATAAAAAAAAATCAAAATTATTATTAAAAAATGATTGACATTTCAACTAAAAATGGAAAAAAAACATTGCAAATTACAACAGAAACGATAGCATATTTTAATCAAATTATCAATATAAAAATATTCTAAAAAAGAAAAATTTCACCTAATAATACTATCTCCCTACCCCTTGTCTAGACCACTGTCTATATAGAAAGCTATTTAAAAATTAACAAATTTTAATTTTTTTATAAGATTTTTAAAAATTTATTTAGAGTTCAAAATCGATGAGATATACATATATTATCTATCACAATTAATTAGATATTATGTTCCTTATTAGATACATTGTCGTTTAAAATAAACTTGTATTCACCACCTTGTATATCATTGGCCATGGATAATATAGTGATGAGCGTCTTTTTGTTTTGCAAAATTTTTATAACAGCATTCAAAAAAGTTCATCCACATTGATCTATAAACTCCCCTGAAATAAGATAGGACATTATATATAGATCTCAAAATAATATAAAATATTATTTATTAACCATATTACACCTTACCTCTTGTGTTATTGCTAAAAATTAAATCTTTGCACGAACTCTCCTGAGTTGGGGTCAAAATATTATTCCGATTAATCCAGACCCAAATCTCAGCAAAAATTTTAGGTTCGAATACCTGAATCTTTGAAAATCAGATTGGAACGGTCGGCAACAAGTTTTTACTTTTTTACGGACCGGACCTAAAAATAGGCCCTATGCTTGCCATGATAAAATATAGTAAAGCAAAATGTCGACAAAGTTTACATATTAACAATATATTAATATATGATAATTACATATGGTTCCTCTTAGAGGTAAGCGCGGGCCTAATTTTTTATTCATGGCCCGCCCGCTCCTGTGGCAATAAAAAATATTCACGCCCATTCACGCTTACCACTAAAAAATTTTCGACTCGACCCGCCCGCTCACGAAAGGTAATATTTTTATTCATGCCCGTCACGGCCGAAAATTCTTGGTGTTTTTAAATTTTTTCAAAACTTTAATGCTATAATTTTTTACACTTTTTTGAATTTATTCTATTTATTTCTTTATTTCTTTATTTCTTTAATTCCATAATCCATAATAACAAAAAATTAATACATATTAAATCCAAATTTTTACTTAGAAAAAGAAGAATGTCTATTTTTTTTATTTCAATTGTGTATGCTTTTCCTCTAATAGGCGATTGGCTACAGAAAATAATCTTTCACTAGAAGTCGAATTTACCAAGGCTGACAAAATTTTACTCTCTAATTTTCTCAAAGAAGGAAATAAATTTTCCTGCTTCCAGAACTTCAAAATATTGCTATTGTTATTTGTTTTATGGAATGAATCTTTTAAATTCACACAGAGATGTTGATGCTTCATCAGAATCATCTAAAAATATGTTTCATTTAGAATACATGGTTTTTTATGAATGTAGGATGAATTAGGAAAGTTATAAATGACAGTTGGCATCAGCGTCTACATGGCCGGGGGGGGGGGGTAGGAGACAAATGCCTCCAAAATATATTAGCATTTTTGGGGGTAGGTATCGATTTTAAGGGGTTGATATTAATTTTTTGGGGGTAGGCATTATTTTTTTGGGGGTAGGTATTGATTTTTGGTGGGTAATTTTTGATTTGAATTATAATCTTTTTTTAATCCATTAATTGATACGATTATGATGGTTATCGTTTGATTTTCTGAAAAATGTCAATTAAAGTAAAGATATTTGTCAATTAATAAATAATATAAATTTTCTTTGTCAACGATTTTCATTTAGCATTTTATCAAGTTAATATTTACACATTTCCTATTTGGTACTTTTCTTAGAGGTTAATATATTTATATTATGTTTTTTAATAAATTTATAGATTTTAGCAGGATAAATTTTAGGTAATTTTTTGAGTCATGCATAAAAACATATATCAGCAAGCAAAGAATAATAAAAAACATAATATGTAAAAAATTAAATTATAATAATTATTTCTTTCTAGATGCCAAGTAACAAAACCATATTTAAAGTTAAGTGCAATATTAAAAATTTCAAAACTTCTAAAATAAGAAGTGACAAGATACATGAACATTATAAACATAAACATCCTCATGTCAAGCCAGCTGATATGAAATTTACAAAGGTAGCCATCAAAAGAGATAATAATAATTGGGTATCTTTAAATTGTGATATTCCATATAATATCACAAATGGAGTTGAAACCCAGTTGCAAAAAAAGACAATAACATCTTACTTTCAAAAAGTAATATTTTTATTTATTATTGTAACTATAAATTTGTGAATTAATAGAAACTGATTTTACCAGAATAATATTAATATTAAAGTAGTCAGGGTATAGAGAAAATAAATTATATATATTATAATTTAATGTTTTTTAACTGTTTATCACACTATTTTTATATCTATATATACTTTATAAAGTTCAATTTAACAATATGTTTAATAAGTTAATAATAATAATTTAAAACCAAAGTATTAAAAAAACTTATTAAGTTAATATAATGTAGTAAAATAAGGTAATATTAATTTCTAGGAATTTTTAAATTTAAATCTTTTCATCTTTAATTGAATTAAGACTTCAAATTCTTCTACTTTTTTTAAATATAAATCTTATAAAATATGATTTGGAATCAACTATTTTCAAAATGTTATCTGTGTGAGTTTCATCCCCTTTATTTACATTATGTGTTATATTAGGTATGTTTATTATCATTGTTTTATTTAGCTATTAGAATTTCTTTAGATAATATACTTTCATCATGAATTTCACAATTTTATTTATACTTAATATTGTTTTTATTTTTATAGTCATTATAATATTGTTTTATGATTTCTTCATGTGATCGCAGTTTTATATTAATCTGCATCTATCATGCCTATGAATCTTTTAAGTATATTTTAAAAATGTTTTTACATGATCTAACAAAGTCATATTGATGTTTATGATTATTGCGTTCAAAATATGTGAATTCCCTTTGTATTCTACATTCACTTGTGCTTTACCTATTACTTGTATCATCTTTCCATTGTAACCTGATAACTTTATGTTGGACTTCATAATATTTTTAATACCTATTTTCTCAATCATGTATTCATGTAGAATTAAAACATTTATTAAAAACTTAATTATAATGTAGTTAAAAAAAATTATCATTTGCCTAAAAATTTATTAAAAATATAGTTATCATAAGGAAAGATATTAAACTCCTCTTTATTTATAGAAAATCTCAGTTATTGAAGATTCACAAATTGTATTATCTCCTCATCCAATCCCCAGTTCCAGTGAGGTGTTTACTTTGTATGATGAGGTATTTAATTTAAATACGAATTATATGATAACTTTTGAAAGAAATAAATTATGATTATGAGGTTAATTAAATATTTCCAACCTTTATTAAAAACTTAATTATAATGTAGTTAAGAATAAAATGACCATTTGACTAAAATTTTATTAAAAATATAGTTTTTCATAAGTAAACAAATTATACTCTTTATAGCAAATCTCCAATATTGAAGATTCACAAATTGTATTATCTTCTCATCCAATCCCCAGTTCCAGTGAGGCGCTTACTTTGCATGATGAGGTATTTAATTTAAATACGAATTATATGATAACTTTTGAAGAAAATAAATTAGGACATTTAAATATTTCCAACATTTATTGATTAACTTAATTATAATGTAGCTAAGAATAAAATGACCATTTGGCGCTGAAATTATATTAAAAATAGATTTTCATAAGTAAACAAATTATACTCTTTATTTATAGCAAATCTCCAATATTGAAGATTCACAAATTGTATTATCTCCTCATCCAATCCCCGGTTCTAGTGAGGCACTTACTTTGCATGAGGCATTATATTTAAATAAAATTTATATAATGACTTTTGAAGGGAATAAATTATGAGGATATTCAAAGTCCAAGTCTTATTCAGCTATACAAAAAAAGGAACCAAATGACCCTTTTCACTTTATATTATTTAGGATGACAAATATTTTGATAAATTTCATAATTGCTGTAGGCCCTTGTCAGCCATGTACAAATAAATTTCAATATCCTGTTACTAACAAGAGGTTTTAAATAATATATATTTTCATTAATTTTTACCCATCCATTATTTCTATACCAATATATTTTTAAATAAGCCTGGAACAAATATGAAATATATTTTTATTAGTTTATATAAAATAAAAATATAATAAATTACTTGTATTGTATATACCTTAATATAAAAGCATGGTAATAATTTATTCCAAACAATTATAAGAAATTTATTTATAATAAGTAAGTAGATATAGTTGATTTTACCCTATTATATAGAATTAGTTATAAAATACTAGGTAAAATTCCAATTTTACAGACACATTTGACAGTTAGAGAATATATTACAGTTAATAATCTGACAAAATTTACTAATCAATGCTCTTAATATTAAATATAGCAACAATATGCATACAATTATTTAACGCCATCTATTTTATTTAAGTATATATAAATGTAATCTTCATATTATTTATCCCACAATGTCTTTAAAAGATATTTTCTGATGTCCTTATCAATATTTTATAGTTTTCTGTAAAATATATAATTCGCTATATTAGTAAAAATACTTGATTGTCATTTGATAATTAGATATATTGTAAATCGACGACATATAATATTCCACTGTTTATATTGTGCTTTAATATTTTTTTAATTTATGATTTAATTTTATCAATAGTTTTATAATTATATTTTACTTTTATTGAGATAAATAAATTAAAATTACTCACTTTATAAAAAATTATATTTGATATATTATATTATTTAGTAATTTTATAGATCTATTATTAATAATTATAATACATTTCACTTCTGTCTTAAGACTTATCCTTGGCCTATATTCCATTTATTAAAAAACATTTTTGGTTCATTTTATATATTTATAAATTTATTTTCTCAAAAATCTATAAATTATGATGAATAGTTTTATAAAAAAATATCAACTTTTACATTCTTTCTTTTAAATTATTATTTAAGATATATGCATACATATATGAGGGTCAGGGAGTGGGGAGAGGACTAAGGGGGATATTTTTTATTAGCTATAAATGATATTTACAAAAAGTGATAAATTTCTGAAGGGGGGGAATTTCCCCTTGCCCCCCCCCCCTGGCTACGCCTATGGAAAGGTTAATATAGATGGTTCCCTCAACCCATTGGCTCTCTTATAGCACTACTTTAGACAAAGTCTTTTGTCTATATTGTATTATGTTTGGTGGCTCTAAGTCCAATACTTTTTGGACTCAACATGGGGTAAATTGGAAAAACATAAAGCGTGACTTAGAGAGACACGAAGCATCTTCTCTTCATAAAGATTGTGAATATGCAAACATGACTTGGCTTGCAAATAAACGCATTCAAGATCATTTGCTATCAAATAAGCTTGATATAATCATGGAAAATCGTAATATAGTTCATAATATTATCAATGCCATTATGTACCTTATAAAATGTAATATAGCCTTTTGGGGTTCTAATTCGAATGAAGGTAATTTTATGTGTCTCATAAAATTAATGGCAAAAACGGTTCCAACTTTACGTGCATACATGGATAACAACGAAAAATTGCGGAGAAAAAAATCAGATAAAATTTCGAGACCTTATATAAATTTACTGTCATATGGCCACGTGAAAAAAATAACTGAAATTATTAAGATAAAAATAACAAAAAGCATTATTCAAACAATTAAAGAGAATCGTGCCTATAGCATCATATTAGATGGAACATATGATAAAGAATGCATAGCTTTGCTTGTACGGTATATAGAAGATGATCTGCATCCACATCCTGTAGAAAGGATCATACATGTTTTTACAACATCAGAAACCACTGGGGAAAATATAAAGAAACATGTTTTTTCTAAGTTTAATGATCTTGGTCTTCCTCTTGATTATTTGGTTGGACAAAGTATGGATGGTGCAGGGAATATGAGAGGAGTATACAAAGGAATGCAGGCTTTAATATTGAAAGAGGCTCCAAAAGCCATCTATATTTGGTGCCATGCACATCGGCTAATTTTAGTAGTTGCTCATGTTTGTGGATGCAAAATTGAAATGAAAAAGGCAATGGGAATATTAGATGAGTTATATAATTTTATGAATGGAGTTAGACGTCAAGGTGTGTTTGTTAAATATCAAATGAGAAAGTCCAAGAAATCTCTTAAAAGAATTAAAAACACAACAAGGTAAATAAAATATTTTTAATGAAACTTATATATTTTCAGAAATTGGTCATCATCCTACAAATCTGTAGAAATCTTTTTAGATGTTTATGAACATATTTTAGCATCATTAGTTGAATTAAAAGATTCTAATGACCCAAGCACCTCTTCCATTGCCGATGGGTTATTATCAAGAATTAAAGATGAAAATTTTATATTAAGTCTTTTTATTTTGAAAGAAATATTGAAATGTACACATGAGGCTTGTATTGAAATGCAGGCAGTTGGTAATGATTTGGCTTTGGTAACCAAATTAATACAACATACAAAAAATAAATTACAAAAACTAAAAGGTTAATATTAGTTACTATTTCTATAAATAATTTTAAAATATAGCTAATGGAGACAATATATTTTTAAAATTACATTCCTTATCTAATAGTTTTTTGTAAAAGAATAATGTAATAACTGATTTGTATAATATGAAATCAATATTCAAATTGGATCAAACAGAATTCAATAATTATGTTGAACAAAAAAAAACAAGTTGAATAAATTAAAAAAATTTAAATTATTATTTATTATTATAGATATAGAACGGAAATATTTTTCCCTGTTCTAAATGCAATAATTAATCACCTAAATGATCGATTTAATTATGATTGTTTAAATTTTTTATCACAGATATCCATTTTTACTCCCGCTGGAATTATGGATAATGAAAAAATAGAAGGATGGCAAATATCCGAAATTTGTAATACTTATCAATTGGATGTCCAAAACATGATGAATATAATGATTTTCGCTCTTTATATTTGGAGTCTCAATCAATCATTTTTTGCGAAGATCTTTTAAAAGTTAAAAAGAATGACGCGTTATATATTGATGAAAGTAATTTATTGATATTTTATTTGTAATTGTATATAATTAAAGGTATTGCAAACGATCAAATCACCAAAGAAAATATCAACAGCGAAATCATGACCAAAATAAAAAAATGGATAAAATTTTCTTTTATATTACCATACCGACTTTTAAATCAATTAAATTCTTATTCAAATTTAAATTTATTATATAAATATTTATTAACCCTTCCTACAACTTCCTGTTCAGCCGAAAGAGCCATGAGTAAAGTAAAAATTAACAAAACTCGAATGCGGAATAAAATTTCGGACCCATTTTTGGAAAATTTACTGTTAATATCCAGCGAAATTGATGTTTTTGAAAAATTTACAATTGATGATATTATAACACAATTTGCTTTAACATCAATAAGGTTATCCAAATTATTAATAAAATAATTAATGTATCTTTTTCACAGCGAATATATAGGCTTTTAAATAATGTATATTTAATTTAACATTTTATAATTTGAATGCAAAATATACTATAATTCATTTTATTCTAATATTTTATATAATAGCTCTATTTACAATACATGTTTTTAATTATGTGGAATCAAGCTAAATATACCTCTTTAAATTTATTCGTCTTATATTTTTTACAATATTTTAGATCTTTTTCAAAGAAATATTAATATGTTATCTCATTTAATTCACTTATATATATTTTATGAAAATAAAGTGAATACCAAATTATGAAAAGATTGCATTATTTAAATAAAAGTTCATTATCACTTACAAATTTTTAAATTTTTTTCCCTAAATAGGCTTGAAAGATTGTAAATAGAATTATGTTGTAAGGTTATAAATGGTGGCAGATAAGATTTTTTAAATAAAATCACTATACCATCGTAGGTCTGTAAATTTCGCGGCCGAAGGCCGCAGGTGGGTATGGGTAGATTTTGGAGGGGTTTGCCTCCATCAAATTTTCTGCCATGTAGACGCTGGTTGGCATTGACTTATGCATATCATCTAATTTTATATCATTTCACATTTTTAAGATTGTTTATTTAAAACTTATGGCTTTTGAAATGGAAATCTAGAATTAAGCCCACCCTAAGTGCTTGAGAATAAATTTTAAAGTTTAAGTAAAAAATCTCGCGACAAAACACCTAAACATAAAAAGAAAATAGAACTAGGAGCGTGACACCAGATGTTGTTTATAAAATGCCTGGATATTTTTTGTTTTCAAAAATTTTTCTTTTTTAAAAAAGAACTAAATTAAATTAGAAAATATGTATTATAATTATAAAATTGCAAATTTATATTTATAAAAAAAGTTAAAATTTCCGTGATTCACGGGAAGTTCATGTTCCCGCCCGGGAAAAATTTTGGGAAGGCCCGTCAAGCCTCAGTCAAGCCTAATAATTTAAATTTTATTTTCACACTCACGCTGTGACACGATGGGTCACGAGTAATTTCACGGCCCGCGCTCACCTCTAGTTCCTCTTATCTTTTATGAACTATGAAGTATATTATAAAAGATCCTAGGGGCATTGCTTGAAATATCCAAGTATTGTATCTAGTTAAAATTTGCACGTTCAAACCTTTGAACTTATAAAATTAAGGCGCAAGTATGACGTGCATACCATTTTGAGTGATTGTGGATCTTCGTTAAATTTAACATAAATTTCAAAATTAATTATACAATATATCTTATCTTTGTTAATTGCATCGTTATTTGAAAATTGTTTAAAAAATGTACCAACAACTTTTTGCTCCTCTTGCCACAAAGTCTCTAAAAACATATGAGTGTATAGGACATCCTTAATTAGTTCTTGATTGTTTTCCGATCCATTTTTAGGCCCTTTTTTATATTTTGCCA